GCAAAACACACACTTTACGGCTCATTAGCTCGAAACTAACAGAATCATAAATTACACGGAACTCAAAGTAACTACTGCTCTCTCTTCATTTATATCCTCGCTGGCTTTCTCTTCCAGGCTTGCATACTAACGAAGAGGGTATCTCGAACACACTCGGATTTCCCCGATCATTCGAGAAACTCAGCAGCCTCACGTGACTTCCGCTGTCGTAACATTATTATGCATGTAATCGTTTGTTACAGCCCCCCCCCCAGTAGCACAGCGGTATGTCTGCGGACTTACAACGCTAGAAACCGGGTTTCGATACCCGTGGTGGGCAGAGCATAGATAGCCCTTGTGTAGCTTTGTGCATAATTAAAAACAAGCAAACAAACAAGCGTTTGTTACAACATTTTTTGTAAGGGGGATCAAAAAAACGTGAAACACGCGAAAAAGTATTCACATTTTATGTTGGAAACAAGGATAAGAGTACCAGAAAATACCAACTTACGTCTATAGTAAGCTTCGTTAGTGGTACTAATCTCAATATCTATCTCTGTAATGTTAAGATTTATTATTTTAGTGTTAATAACAAAAGATCTCTGATTTTTATATGTAAAATATGAAATATCTTCCGAATCTGAATGCCCAAGTAATATTTCACCTAATTTGTTGTTATAACGCTCTCTGATGACTTAACGTTAAGCTTGAGCGCTTATCAGGCTAAAATTAGTGTCCAATCCCTGCGATGGGCACAGACCAGATAGCCATTATGCAGGTTGAGTTTAACAACGAAACAAAAACTGTTCTCATGTCGACCGCAAAAAGTTTTCAGAATAGGATTTATTATTAATTTAAAAGTTTATGTTTCTACATTCATTATTTATTAATTAAAAAGTGTGCTATGTTTCTACATTCATATGCGTGATTTCTGATATTCGTGTAAGTAAACGGGATTTTAATTTAATTTGTAGTTTACGTCATTTGTTTATGGACTGTTTAAAATGAATTAAGTCACACGACATGTGATTCATACTGTCTGGAACTTAGACTTTGAATCACACGTTTTTTTATGTTGTCAGTGATTTTTGAGCATATAAATTAGGTAGAAACAGAAAGAGAGGCAAAGCTACAAAGTGCAGCTAGAAGTCAGCGCCACCAGGACGCTGTAACATATTTTAAGTCGTTTTAAAATGTATTGTTCTCTGTTATAGAGTGATTAATGCACACTTAAACTTCGATTAAAATTTCCTATTTTGTTTTCAGGTACACAAAGCTAGTGTGGTCTTTTCATCTAATATCAGAACATCGAGTCCTTCACACAACTCAACTTTGCAAAGCAGTACTAAAGGTTTCTATGACTACGTTATAACATTAAAATTTGAAGCAATACGGTTTTTGAATTATTTGTTCCTAGAGTCGCATGTATCTAGGTTAGTTTTTTAAAGTATAAAATTTAAGAAATGTTAATACAAAGTTAGCTTTTATCTCTTAAACGAGAATCATTCAAAGTGTCTGATTATTTACAGTTAAACTATTCTTAATGCGTCAATCAAATTTGTAGTAATGTTTACACTACTATAATGATTATCGTAGAAAAATTATATTTTATAAAAAAAATAATAATAATAATATCTGGTTAAACTGAATAGCTAATACTTTGAAACGGAGAGATTGTCACAGAAGTAGTATAACCACCATGTTAAAAAAAAAAAAAAATATGTCCGAGTTAAGCCTAATTTAAAATTAATATTTTCGATACAAAATCCCTCTACTTCACTAGTAAATTTTTTGTTTTCTGAAAACTGTATCGACTGAATAGCAGTTAATAATTTTTATGATAGAATTGTAATTTAAATCAAGAAACCATTTTTTTGTACTTTATTTTCCCTTCCATTTCAGTTTTAAAAGCAAAACGAATTGGTATTAAACGTTGTTGATTTTCTACAAGTACTACTTTAAAGTTCGTTTAGTTGTAAAACCTAGATGGAATGTTTATAGTAAACTCCCTTTGAAGGCCTAACTTTAAACTAGAGGGCTTATACCGATAAAACTCAAGATTTGATCCCTGCAGTAGACATAAACGCAGATAGTCGGCCATTGTGTAACTTTGCGCTTAATAACAAACAAATCTGTAATAAATCTTTGCCAAAGCTTTATGGTGTCACCGTCAGTCAGTTTCCTTTAGTTACATGCCACGCCATTCATATATCCAATGGAAGAAAAATACTTCGGGCTAGAAAGGCTTAGGAAAATAATTATTAGAGGTATGGAATGTGACAGTGTCATCCGAGATCAATAAGGGTCATCTTCAAGGTCATGTCCTGCAGAAGTTTTATTAATATGCATGATATACCAAAACCCTTAGCGACAAAGATGTAGATAATAACAAAAACATTATAAACCAAAAATGACCCAAAATCGTTCCACAACAACAACGTTTGTTGACATAAATGCAAATGTGGTAAATATTTTACAAAACGGTGGCAAATAATCAATATCTGGCTTTATTCTCAGTATAGTTTGGTGCTCTTGTTCTGTTCACACGGCGTTTACGAGTAAATGAGCCTGTAGTACGCAGCCACTGACAAATATTAGGTCGTCAAGAAATTAATGTCGCTATTTTTTAGATGAAAAAACCCGAACAACGTGTATATCAAACAAAACATTTATTAAAAGAAATAGTCTCCATTCTTATCGATGATGCTTTTCCATCTTACAATCAGGTTGTTAATGCCCTGATGAAAGAAATCACTTGGCTTTGAAGCAAAAAAACATTTTGATATTCTCTTTAACACCTTCTACATTTGCATACTTTTTCCCATTAAGATGGTGTTGCAGTGAACGAAAAAGATGGTAAT